GCAGCATTAACAGATTACATCCTTCACTTTCCACCCAGTCTACGTCCATTCTTGTCCACAGTCTCGTTACCTCCCGTATGACTACTGCAATTCTCTTCTGCATGGTCTCCCCCAAAAATCCCTCCATAAGCTGCATCTGGTTCAGAACTCAGCTGCTGGCATTATCACCAGATCCCCTCCTACCAGCACATCACCTGTTCTTCAGGAACTTCACTGGCTCACAGTGAAATTCCAGATAATATACAAACTTCTTCTGCTCACCTTCAAGGCCATTCATAACCTCGCTCCTCCTTACCTTTGTGACTTGTTAAGCACTATCTCTTCTACCCGCTCACTTCGATCTTCTCCTTCTATCCAGCTTGCTGTGCCTTCCTTCTGCCTCAGCACCATGGGGAGCAGAGCTTTCAGCTCCTCTGCTCCCAGATATAAGAAACACTGGTTCTCTCCCAGTTTAAATCCCAACTCAAAGTCCATCTGTTCAAATCTGCATATTCACTGTGAACCTGTTTGTTCATTTTATCTTGTGCTTTTGTTTTTATTGTTCTTCATTGTGTCATTGATCTATTGTGTGTTTTATCCTATTACAAACTGTCCTTGGGTGTCTTGAAAGGCGCTTTATAAATAAAATGTATTATTATTATAATTACAGTTGGAGGATCCTTTTCTGATGTCATGCAGGCTCTGGAGTAGTAGAGCGTTTAGATCAGTCTGAAGCCTGAGCAGGATGTCACTGTGCCCTGATGTTGTGCTGTCTTATCAGCTACTGTTCAGTGAATGTTAGTCGGGAATCACCACACTGACCCTGATGTCATTTAAAAGCAGTGAGCGTGTCCTTTTTACTGTAAACACACCTGAATGTACCTGTGACGTGCTGCTGCGCTTTGATTGGTCAGGATGTGTGGCAGCAGGTGAAGGAGGGGCAGATCAACCCTCTGACCCTGAAGGAGATGTTGGAGAGCATCAGGAGGAAGGCCGACGTGCCGCTGTCGGTCCGCTCGCTCAACTTCCTGTCTCTGGAGCCCGACGAGATGGACGAGTTTGTTGAACTGCACAAACACCAGCCGATCAAGCGCCAGGTAACTCCCAGGTCGCATCATGACATCACCACAGTCCTTTTAAATCTGTCTTTATGATTCATTTGGTTTTCTTCTTCTACCTCTGTCACATGTCAGCTCCTGTTTGTGTTGATGGTTCGCTGTATAAATCTGTAACGCTGTCATCATGTAAATCAAAGAATGATTTACAAGATGGCGCAGCCGCGTCCAGACGCCTTCCTGACCGCTCCGCTCAGACTGTGCACCTTTTTACCTGTTTATTACCTTGTTATACATTCCAGGAACTTCTAGTTTTATAGTTTATGACTGTAGTTCCCTTCTCAACATCGGTGATCTTGGACACTTTTAAACCAGACCCATCATGGCCGACCGAGATACTACGCGGTGCGGCCAACAACAATAACAGGACGCTCACCCCAGGCGCCGAACAAAGAAACGCCGGGGGAAATGCGCTGGCGTTCGGAACAGACTGAGACAGCAGGCGCACCACTGCCCAGCATCTTGCTGCTTATGTATTGTATTATGTATTCGTTGGAGAACAAACTAGATGATCTGAGGGCAAGAGTCACCTTCCAGCGTGACATGAGGGACTGCAACATGCTGTGCTTCACGGAGACATGGCTGACCGCCACCGTGCCGGACCGTGCCGTAACTCCGTCGGATTCATTCTTCGTGCTCCGCGCAGACAGAACGGCAGAGTCGAACAAAACAGAAAGTTGTGAGACCCCAGGAGCATTTCTACTCTCTCCACCGGCTGCTCGCCACATCTGGAATTCCTGAGCGTTAAGTGCCACCCTTTCTACCTTCCCCGTGAGTTCACCTCGGTCATCGCTGCAGTGGTCTACATCCCATCCCAAG